GAGACAGTATATATATATATATATATATATATACATAAATCAAGGTAGCCGTTAACACTGTTAAATCATATATAAATCATCAAAATCATCATTTCTTTGATGATTTACCTTTCTTTGATGATTTATATATATATATATATATATACATATATATATACTTAAATATATAATATATATATATGTATATATATATATATTATATATACCCACGATTATTTGACTACTACATGCAGTATTTGCTGGCTTTACCTGTTCAGATTTGTACACCGTGTACAAATTATTCCTATTTTCTGATTGATAATGATCATAAATCCTGAACACAATTGCCACTGTCGTGTATCAGTGTATACCTTGGAATGTTTCTGATTCTGTCAATGATATTTCAATACTGCATACAACTTTAATTTGTAGATAGGCTTAATTTAAAGTTGCAATTTGGTTATATTAGTGGGTTGTAAATAATAATAATTTTAATGTTATAACAATAATCTGTTTGTAAAATTTCAATTTAAACGATTCTTCTTTTTATTTATTTAAGCCATACCTCTCAACATAATAACTGATATATTAATTTGGATTCACGAACATAGTTTTATGATGTCAATTCGAATCATCACGGGATTCTATACACAGATAACTACATATAATGATAATTGTAACATAATGTTTTAGGCCTATTAGAAGCCTTCGAATCATTCTAAGATAAGATATTACAGGCCAACACAATTTTGACAACTGTTTCTTTATCCAGTTTTAACAAAGAAGATTTGTGAAGTGACGTAATACTGTATTCGGATTCAAATTCAATTATGCAAACAATCTACAATGAAATATCCATTCTTATCATGGTCATTCAAATGTCTTCTGGCTAATGAGCTAGGGTATTGAAATTGTAAGTAAAATATCACTTTTTATACTTTAAGATGGACGTATTAATCTTCGTAAAGTTCAAATGTTAACAGAAATCCTTATATCCTCGATGGCTTGTTGAAGAGTAATGTAATTGGATTTTTGTTTGTTATACACACTGTAGGTTACGTCTATATTACAAGGTGCTAATGACAGTTTAAATTCCTATATACAGTTTCGTTATACTAATGAAAAAAGTAAAATAAGCATGGCTATAAATTTAATATTAATGAGACGTGCAATAATATACTCCAAGTTAGTGTTTAACATCAAAATGAGAACCATCATGTCGCCAGTTAGCCTCTCTAATACTAATAATACGAAGACCTGTCAGGCCAAACACCATGGTCTGGCATAAACGCTACAGAGCTTCACACTATACTATCATGCAGTAACAATGAATTTTCCAACGACCAGCTATTTTGTACACCTACACACTCCTGGCTTTTTGCAAGGTCACTAAATGATAATTTAACTATTGAAACGTGCAAATTAGTGTTGCGTATTTCCGTAATGATAATTTCATTATTGAAATATGCAACACATTTTGTTTAAAAAATGGGGTCTATTTCGTACATTTTACTTGCAACTAAACTAAGTTAATCTCTATTATTAATGTTTGCACCTGGTTATCGGTGTGCTAAATGTCGCTAAAAATCAGATCATTTGGTGATTTTCCTGAGAATGTAAGAAAAATACAAGGAAGAAGAGCGTATTTTTTAAGAATTGCGTAAAAACACATCACACTCATAGGAGCCAAGCATTAATAAGATACTGTTGAACTAGATACAGAACATCACTACCATCAGTACTAACATAGAATGACTTTATTGGGGGAAAATATAAACTACTATTTTGTTTCAGATTATATAATTATATTTTGTCACTAAATAGTTCATGTATATCAATCTTCGTTAAATATCAATCTGATGTTACGATATTTAGCTGGAAGCAGCACAATTGAAAATAATGGAGGAGCTGATGAACACATGCGGTTGGCATAGCGACAACCTTCCTTAACCTATCACTGTACAGAGCTCCCTCTCCCGAGTCTTTTTTATATATCTATAAAGTCGCGATATAAATCGAATAAATCTATCTCAATCTCAGCAGACGCGGATCTATTACACAGAAGTATAGCGTTATGTAGCTAGTAGATATTTGGTTGGAGTATGCCAGGTTTGACGAAGATCACCAGGTGAGGTAAAAAACTGTAAACAATTAAGCTGATTCTCTACTCAATAGACAATA